CTTCCTGACAGGGAGGGGACACACTAAATATGCAGAATGAGACCCACATTTTTGGTTATGGCTAGTGTGGGAATTTGTTTTCTTTGACTATGCATGTTTTTTACAAAGGAGTGAGGTAAAGAGAGGGAGAGAAAATAAATGCTTGCTAATTGGAAAAAATCCATTCACAAAAATAAAACTATAGCAAAGAACACCCCCCCCATGGGTTTGCAACATCCAAGATGGTACCTGTTTACCGTTGATGAATTTGCAGTAAACAGCCCAGATGAAAAGCCCCTAGGAGATGTCATTTCTGAGCACAGGGGAGGTATCAAAGCACTGGAGATGATAAACCTCACCCTGATTTTGAACACTGGGAAGAGAACAGTCTCCAAAATATCGATTGTGAAGCTTGGTGTTAATTCCTGGGAAAGACTGGGATGGTTCGCTAGAGAGGTGGCTGGCAAATGATTGGCTATGATAATGGCGAATACGATGAGCCACTGGGCTGGATGGTGGTCATGCCCCTCTAACCTGATCTCCTATTTTGAAAAGAGTTGAATAAACCAGAGGAATACTAGAAGAACCGTTTTCCTGCATCTGAGCAAACATCTCATCCTTTTTTTGTGGCTAACATGGAAAGATGTACGCTGGGTGGGGATACAGTAAGTTGGACTGGACATGTGCCAACTCAAATTTAACCTTATTTATGCTCATGATATTAAATCATCACAGGATTGTATTCATTATCATTTGGAAGAAAGTCAAATCAATTCAAGTTAACAAACATTTATTAAGGGCTTACTACAGGCCAGGTTTGTACTAAATGTTCCAGACACCAAGAAAGGCAAACAATAGCCCCTGCCCTCAAAGAGCCCACACTCCAGTGAGGGAGGTGATTGCATCGAGTGTGCTCTGGCCTCTCTCCCAAGAACCCGGCTAGCTGCATCTGCTCCTTAGTATTCTACGGAAGAGAAGGCTTTGGCGGTCTCTCTATGGAAGGGAAGGCTTCCGGGGTCTCTTGTCTGTTACCATGAGCTCAAGGCTCCACTTAATATCAGTGAGCTTTTGGAAAGAGACAGTTGCTTCAAAGACATCAAATCAAGAGCAGATGAACACATACTTCCCCCTAATACCTCAGGGGCCCACTCACCTCAGTTCCAACACAACATGGGTCCCACCAGGTGCCCCTGAAAATGTGGCCGCACCTGAAGAATTGGCCTGGGCCTGCATTTTGGGGAGGGACCCAGGCTGGCCAATCGTTCCCATCCGGGCTCTACTTCTGACCGTCTGGACTTTGCCTCCGCAGCTGCCAGCCTCAAACCTCCTTCAGCCTCGAACTTCCTTCCATGAGGCCAACCCCACTTTTCCCATGGCTGACTCGCTCCTGACACCTCCATTTCTGGAGGGACACAGGCCAGCCGGTGTGCCCTGCCCTCCCGGCTCTGCTTCTGACGTTAGGTTCTTCTGTGCCATGTCACCTGTCCTCAGCTCCCTGTTTGTGGTGTCTTCCCTCGTTAGGATGCACTGTCTCTGAGAGCAGGGACTGTCTTCCCTTCTATCTGTGTCTTCAGGCCTTAGTACCTTGCCTGGCACTCACTGTTGGAGTTTAGTCATTTTCAGCGTCCTTCTCTTTGTGACCCCATTTGGGGTTTTCTCGGCAGAGATGCTGGCCTGGTTTGCCATTTCCTTTTCCAGGATCCTCATTTTACAGATGAGGAAACTGAGGAAAACAGGGTGAAGTGACTTGCCCAAGGTCACGAAGCCAGGAAGTGTCTGACGCCAGATTTAAACTCAGGCCATCCTGACTCCAGGCCTGGTGCTGTATCCACTGCCTGACAGTGAGTGCTTAATAAACACTTCTTGCCTCGATTTGCCTTGGCAGAAAGGTCCCTCCTAAAGTCATTATTTCTCCTGGAGGCACTGATGCTGGGCTGCCTATAAAACCCGGCCTGGACTCTGACTCTCATATTCCTCCATCTCCATCTCCTGGCCTTTGAAACCCCACAAGGCCAAAAAGGCTCCGATTCTTTCGCCTGGAAGAGGAAAGACTGAATGCGGACGTCAAGAGCCGAGGCCACTGCCTTTTCCATGTTGTCTGTTACCAGGCACCTGCAGCAAAGGACCCAAACAGCCATCGGGATGCAGGCACGCGGCGGCGGCTGCGGGAGGCTTTGGGAAGCCGCGCCCACTCTCCGCACTGCTGGCCAGTGTAGAGCGTGGGTGCATTCTCCATTGTCTGTGCAAAGCGCTTCCTTACACACGTAAGGGGCGATGTGCGTGGGTGCGTTTGGTTGCTCCAGGTTGTGTGTCCACAGGAGGCTGTCTGGACGTGACGCTCAGAGAGACCTGAGCAGGGGTGGGGACCGTCTAGGTCCTCTAGGGCGGCCCTTGACTGAATCCAGTGAGAGGAGTCGGACGCAAGTGAAATGACAGCAACAACAGGCGGCCTTTAATATCGTTGGCCTAGTTGTCAAAGCCGCATTCCGAACTCCTATTTCTTAACAGGAAAGGAGTACCCCAAGCTACGTATCCAAGGCTTGACTTCCTTTCCACTAAATGTCGGTTCCACAATGAACACGCTCATTGTTGTTCGGTCATTTTTCAATCGTGTCTGACTCTTCGTGGCCCCATTTGGGCTTTTCCTGGCAACGATGCTGGAGTCGTTTGCCATTTCCTTCTCCAGCTCATTTTACAGAGGAGAAAACTAAGGCAAATGGGGTTAAGTGAAGCTGGATTTGAACTCAGGTCCTTCTGACTCCAGGCCCCCATGGCTCTACCCACTGTGCCATCTAGCTGCCCCAATGACACACGTGGCAAATGGCAAATCCATCCATTATCCCAGGTGATAGCAAACCTAAATCAGAGAAGGTATTTAGACGTACCAGACGTTTACCAGACGATGTACAGAGTGAATAAGCTGTACTACTCTCCTGCCAGGAGTGAGATATCTCAACTCAACCTGGAGAGAAAGAGTCCCAGACCTTACTCAGAGGGCATTCTCTGAAGTCTCTGGGGTATCAATCTGATCAAGACGCTGGCTCTTCTACACCTTGGCTCTTTCCCTCTCTTCAGGGACCTGAAGAGAATTTGGAACTGGGTATCTTCTCTCTGGAAGCTAGAGGCCAGAGGACCAGGACCTCCCTTTTCCCAAGCTCTCGCCATTTTTGCCTCGTGCAGACAAGGAGTATTGATTAATCAGTCTCAGCCAATGAGGAGTCTTCTACCCGTGGGCTTTGAGCTACAGGTTACTAACATCGTCATGCATCTCCTGGGAGCATGCTTCCACCCTCTGCACAAGGAGAGAAGCTGTCAGAGGTGCTCCCTCTGCCATTTCATTTACGAGACATATGCCAAGTAAATGGGAGGTTCTAGGGAGGAAAATCACAAAGGGAAGACACCAGCATGGAGGGGCACTGGGAAGGTCCATTTGCAGAAGGTGAGATTTGAACTAACATTTGAAAAAGCCAGGTCATAGGGCAGCTAGGTGGCACAGTGGATAGAGCAACAGCCCTGGATTCAGAAGGACCTGAGTTCAAATCCAGCCTCAGATGCATAACACTCACTAGCTGTGTGACCCTGGGCAAGTCATTTAATCCCATTGCCTAAACCAAAAGAAAAAAGAAAAAGAAAAGGCCAGGTCATGGAAGTGAGGGATGGAAAGAATTTCAGGCAATGTGGCTGAGGGGAAAGCCAGTGTCTAGTCAAGGAACTGAGAGACAGGAGAGCAAGAAGGCCAGTATACTGGATCATTGAGTGTGTGGAGGAAAACATTGTATAAGGAGACGGGAAAGTTCAGAAAGGACAAGGTTGTGAAGGGCTTTCAAAGCCAAAGGATTTAGTATTTGACTTTGGAAGTGATAAAGAGCCATAGGTGGCTATTGAGTTGGGCAGTGATGTGGTCCAATGGGCACTTTAGGAAAATCACATTAATGGTTGAGTGGGAGATGGACTGGAGTGGGGAAACTTGAGGCAGGCAGATGGCCCAGTAGTGATGGCCATAGTCCAGGTATGAGAGGATGAGGGCCTGGATGGGGAGGTGGGAGGGAGGGGCAGAGGACAGTGTGTTAGATAGGAAGACAGAGGATTTCCAATAGGGCATGCATTAGTTTTGTTTTGTTGGCTTTGACTTTAAATTTTTTTGCACTAAGAAAGCTCGGGTACTTATGTCCCTGTCATATAAAAAATGTCCAGTAATTAGCTATTATTCATGCACTCCAGAGAACAGTCTGGGACCTCTCCTGATGATATATCCCAGAGACAAGAAAATCTTTGCTTTTCGGGATGATGGTTTGTGTGTGTGAGAGTGTGTGTGTTTTATTGGAGCATATTTATGTTCTGTATTATGCATTTCTTCACTTTGCAGGATACATGACTGGGTGATTTCTCAGTTTAATTTTTTTATCTGAAAACAATTAACTTCAAATAAAACAAGCATTTCCATCTACACTGTAGTCCGGGAGGGTAGATGAGAATACATTAACCCTCAAATCCCTATTCTGTATAGCCGACTTTTCCTTTAATGCATATCATCAATTCAACATGTCACTTTCCAAGCTGGCCTCCTGCTTGTCAAGGATTCCTTCTGTTGCTTCTCCCTTTGGGGAGGGGCACACCATCACTAGCCCAGTCTCCTTCCCTCCTCCCCACCCCAAAGATGACTACCTTCCTAGCAAGCAATGGCCACTCCTTCACAGAGCAGAGTGAGTACCTGCAGTCTAAAGCTCCTAGATAAAAGATATCCAGGCTGTATGAGACAGCAACACCATGCTAGATATTTTGGAAGCTGGTACAGCAGCCATATTGAAGGCCCTCCCCCACTGGCATGGGCAGGGAGACCAAGAAATGTATCTCTGTTTATGTTGCTTTTTTTTTTTTTGGTAAGGCAATTGGGGTTAAGTGACTTGCCCAGAGTCACACAGCTAGTGAGTGTTATGTGTCTGAGGTCGGATTTGAACTCAGGTCCTCCTGACTCCAGGGCCAGTGCTCTATCCAATGCACCACCTAGCTGCCCCACTAAGAAATGTATCTCGAGGAAGGCTCTGTAGGTGGAGTAGACCCTGCTCCTCTGGGAACATAGCCTTGGGGTCCTGTTCCTAGACATGGCCCAGGAGTGCATGTAGCCCAGGAAGCAGGATCTTAGAGAGAATGTAACTATCCCTTGTTGTGCCAGGAAGCTGGGCACCATAGAGAGCTCTGTTACCTTCAGCAGCTGGACCCATTCTGGGTTATAACGGGTTTTTGTCTCAGTTCCTTATCTGAGTCTCTCACTGTGCCTAGCACCACTGTACCACAAGTTATAGTAATAGCCTCATCCTCAGGCTGGGCCCCCTTGATGGTGAGGGCAGCTTTGTCCCCAAGGAGGGACCCTGAGAACTGGGCAGGGACCCCTGATACAAGATTGCTGGTATCATAGATGAGTGTCCTGGGAGGCTGGCTGGGTTTCTGCAAGTACCAGTAGGGATAGTGCCCAGAGGTGACGGCCCCTGTGCTGGAGCTGCAGGTCATGCTGACTGTTCCTCCTGGGATCACACTCAGAGATGGCTCCTGAGTCACCACGGTCTGAGAACTGGCCCCTGAAACCAAGAGGAGGAACACATATCAAGAATGGAGATGGGGCCTTCATGCCCAGCTCGCCCCTTCTCCTCCCCAAGAGCCCGGGGAGTCTGTTCCCTCACCTTTGCAGAGAGTAAAGAGCATGAGGAGAAGAGGAGTCCAAGACATGACATAGATGCTCTGCTTCCCAGGGCTCTGCAATGGGGCTGACGCTGCTCATATCCACCCCACTTCCCGTGCAGATGGAGGGTTGTTTCATGCAAATATTAGTTCTCTAAGTACAGGGCCCCTCCAGTAAAAGTCTGAAACATATGGTGGGGTGGGGTGTGTCATGGAGTGACTCTGGGACATCCATGAACACCCGGGGCACCTTCTGACTCAGGACGCAGTTGGTGTCACAGTTATCAGCTGTGATAGCCCACCATGACTCACCCAGGGTAGTCCCGCGGCGCCCCCTGCTGGGCCCAAGCCCCAAAGCCACCTAATGTCAAGGAACCAAAAGATAGAGGCTGCAGAAAGTCCCTGAGTTCCCATGCATCTGGACTCCTGGTGCCAGGGCCTTGGGCTGAGCGCTGGGGATTGATCCCAAAGGTCCTCTTTGCTACACAGTCCTCAGGAAGTGCGCCCTCATGGGCTCCAGTGCTCCAGTATCGGCTGCAAAGCACGCAGAATCATCCACTCTCACAGTGGGGAAGAGGCTGGGGGCTGCCAGAGTCTGGAAACTGGGGCAAGTCGATCTGTAGAAGCTGGAGGCCCCAGCCTCCCTCCTCTCAAGCTGCCTGCCTAGCAGTGCACAGAGCAGCAGGGGAAGCATGCCGGGAGGAAGGGAGAGCAGGAGGGCCAGGGCAACTGGTTTCTTGGAGGCCTGGCTACCAGGACAGTTTTGTCTGGGCACTGGCTGTCACCGTTGCTCTCTGCTGACAGTGACTGAGGTTCAGGTCAGGCTGTGCTGCATCTGCTCAGCTTTTGGGCCCAGAATACTCCAAAAAGAGAGAGGCATTCCTGGCTCAGCCACATCTCTGAAGATACCTCTAACACCTTGGTGGTGTTATTGCAGAAATGATTTTACTATTATTAAATCACCCAGTGGCCTCACTCGAGCACACATGATTGAAGAAACCCAAAAGCATAAGGGCAAGAAATGCAAAGTTGTCTTCAAACCCACAAAGCCTCTGAAGACTGATGGGTGGACAGATGTGGACCAGTGATGGCCCTGGCTGATCCAAACTAGCTCCTGTCCTGCACCCAGATGCCCTCTATACATCTATATACACAGGAGAACCTGGGAGCAGTCTTCTCCTGGGGGAGTGATGATCACTTAAAACCAGGGGCCCCCCTCCAGAATCTGAAAGTCTGGCTCTGAAGCAGTCTCAAGACAGCGGGTCAGCAGCAGAGCTGCAGCTTGGAGTGGCAACCATCCACTGACATGGGGTGCAGCCTGCCAAAAGTGGCCAACAGCACTAGGCCACTTTGAATAAATAGTTGGCCCCGGGAGACTGAAACGGATGCAGATGTCCTGGCCCACAGGCAGGTGGCACCAGAGCTACGGCAATCCCTTAGTACTGTGAAGATCTGAGCTCAAATCTGAACACAGACACTTAGTAGCAGGGTAACCCTAAGCAAGTCATTTCATCCTGCTTGCCTCAGTTTCCTCCTCTATCATTTGGAAATAATAGCCCTGCCTCCCAAGGTTGTCGTGAGGACCAAATGAGATATTTGTAAAGCACTTAGCAGCATGCCCAGCACATAGTAGGTGCTTAATAAATGCTTGCTCCCTTCCCCTGTGGATGACTGGCAGTTGGCTGATGAAGGGCTAAGAGGAGTCCCATACAGTCAAATCAAGCATTCAGGAAGCACTTCTGTGTTCTGGGCAGTGGGCGAGGCCGTTAAGGAGCTCAGTCTCATGGGGGAGACAACATGGCACAATCACGACCAGATGTGACTGCAGTAAACAGGAGCTAATCTTAGAGAAGATCAAAGGTTCCATGGGCCACCACCACGGCTCAGACAGGGAGGCCCAGGTGAGGAGGGAGGGGGAGTTCTGGGTCTGGGGGTGGCCAATCACAGCCCCACCAGCTGGTAGAATAGCAAGGCTAGCAACCCCGGAGCATGGCAAGGCAGAAGAAGTTAGGTATGAGAATACTAGAAAGGTACAGTGGGCCCAGCTTGGAAGGGCTTTGAAAGCTGGAGGATTTGATCCTGAAATAGTCCTGGAGGCAATAGGAAGCCACTGGAGTTCACTGGATATGAAGGAAGGAAGGAAATGAGCAAGCATGGATTGATTCAGCCCCTGTGTGCCAGGCACTGTGCTAAGCGCTTTGATCCTCACAATATCTTTGGGAGTGCTGGTGTGACCCCCAGTTTACAGAAGAGGAGACTGAAGTGCCCCAGGTCACCCAGCCAGTAAGTGCCCGAGACCAGATTTGAACGTGGGTCTTCCAGGCTCCGAATCCAAACGTAGTAACTGCTAGTGTGTCCCATGGATGCTGCTGTTGGCAACAGAAGTGTTTGACCTTCCCTGGCACTCAATCCTAGAATTCCCATCAAGAGCTAAAAAGTGCCCCTACCCCATCCTAAGGCCCAAGGCCCAGTGCAGGGCCTGGCACAGAATAAACCCTTGACCAGCCTGTGGACCCACTGACTGATGCAGAAAAGGAAGTGGTTCCCTATTCTTCGGAGGGCATTTAGCACATTGTGGAGGGATGGGCAGGGGTCGCTTAGAGGGGACTGGATGAATGGCTAGAAGTGGTTGGAGGGCAGCTGGGAAGGGTCTCCAGCGGAGTGCCCCAGGGATCTGTGTTATTAAGGATTTGAATGAATGACAAAAGCTCATTAAGGGTATGGAATTATGATGTTTGTATTAACCGACATATGTGCCATGAATATACTAATAATTTAGTTTTCTCAAGAGTTGCCTTGGGGCAGCTAGGTGGCGCAGTGTATAGAGCACCGGCCCTGAAGTCAGGAGGACCTGAGTTCAAATCCGACCTCAGACACATAACACTTACTAGCTGTGTGACCCTGGGCAAGTCACTTAACCCCACTGCCTAGTAAAAAATAAAAAATAAAAACAAAAATAAAAAAAGTTGATAACTATGTTTCAACATAATTTCTAAAAAAAAAAAAGAGTTGCCTTGATGCGGCTTAAACTGACTAATCTAATTGTGTTAACTGATTAATTGTGAGAAAACGGTCACAAGCGCTGGACCTTGAGTGAAGCGAATCAAAGATCGCAGAACCTGCTCCGGTCCCAGAACTCTGGCTCCCTACCCTAGGGGAGGTGGTCGCGACCCCCAGACTTGACTCCAGCATTGCTGGGTTCTCGTGGGAAGCCACCAAACGATTATCTGTCATCCGCCTTCCTTCCCCGCTTGGGGTTTAGGAATAGAACCCGGGCTTTTACTTCAGCTAGGAGAACGTGCCTCCCCCCTAAACTGATGAATGGCCCCACTCGATTACTGGTCCTCGGGTCCGTAGGCCGCTTTGCGCCGCTCCCAGCATGGTCGGGCTAGAGATCCCGCTAACCAAGGCTCGCTGGGCATGCCTCAGCTCCGGACCGCCGGGGTCCGAGCTAGGGTCTCGAGAGGTGCTATCGGGAGCTGCCGGCAGCACCGCGGCCAGCGCCTCGCGGCCCCTCCAGGCCCCGGGCTCCGAGGCTCGCCTCTTGTCCCGGGTTGGGGAGGGGAGTGTCCCCCTAAGGGACCCCTCTTGTGAAGCCCCGCCCCCAAGCCAGTTACACGTCCTCCCGGGAGACCGGGGGGAGGGGAGGGGTCAGCTCCTGCCGAGAACACTGGCCTTCGAGGGCAGGCCCCTGGCTTGGACTGCGCCCCAACCCCAGCCTCGGCTGCCCTAGGCAGGACCCCGGCCTGGGCCTCCCATCATCGGGTGGAGGATGCAGGAGAGCGCCCGGGCTTGTTCACAACTAGTGGCGCAATGCGAGGCGCCAGACTCAGGCTAGTTCCGTTCACTGAGGCTCCTCCTCAGTCAAACGAGGGGGTTGGACCCGCGGCCCCCAGGGGCTCTTATCCCGCCTTCTACGGCCCCCGAGCTGGCGTGCGCCCGAATTTTATTTTACTTTATTTTTTAACATTTGAATTTTTAAAAACAGCTTCAGCGCTCCCAGGACGCAGGGAGGGAGCTAGAGGGAGAGCAGCCCCAGCCTAGGCTCCCGAAGCAAGGGGCGGGGCAGGAGCAGAATTATGTGCTGGAGAAGAACCCCGCCTCCCACCGCTCTCGCCCGGCAGAGGATCTAGGCATGCGCGACAGACCGCCCGGGTCTCCGAACTACACTTCCCAAAAGGCTGTTCGGCGTGTCGGCAGATTCTGGGCCGAGTTCCGTCGCGGTTGCCATGGACACGTTACTTCCGCTCCCTCCCGGATTCTCGTCGCCCTTTGCACTCGCGGCCGCCTCAGCTCAACTCTGTCCTCGGCCGCCGCCGTCGCCGCAGCCTGAGCCCCGGTACGGGACCAGAGTGAGTGCGGGTCCGAGGGCGGCCTGAGCCAGGGTGGGATGCTAGGTCACCGGCTCCGGTTTTCGTAGTGTCAGGGCGAGGAAGGGGGTGCAGAGAGGGAAAGCAATGCGCCGGGCGGACGGTAGCGCGCCTGCGCAGTTCGCGCCCTGCCCCCTTGGCGAGTCACTCCCCCATTGGTCGCCCAGTGGCTTCCGAGCCAATCAGCACCTCCCAGTGGCCTCCGAGCCAATCAGCGCCGCCCTTTCTCTGGGGCCTCCGCGAGGGGCTCCAGGCTCCTCCCTCCCCATTCCCTTCTCTCCGATCTCTTCTGCCCCCCCCATCTAATTAAAACCTGAGGATTCGGCGCACCCCCCAAAGTAAGTATCTTTTTTTGCCGGACCCGAGTAACACCTCAATTCCCTAAGGGGAGAACAGTAGGCGAGGGGGCGGGGGCGTGTCCGGCCCAGCTCTGACCCCCCCACCCCCGCCGGGAGAGAGGAAGGGGGAGCTCCTGGAGCGTGAGCATGCTTCGACCCCCCCTCCTCCGAGATCCCCCCCAGGACGGCCGAAACCCGGCCCTGCCCCCCTCTTGGGGGAGGGGACTTGAAGGGCCGACCACTCCCGCCCTCCTCAGGGGTGCGGTCTGTTCCCCAGATTTGCCTTCGGAAGCCCCCGGCCTCCTGCTGCGGGAGAGGGTGAGGAAGAGGAGGCCATGGCCCCGGTGCTCCTGACGGCGAGAGCCTGCCAGGTGAGCCGGGGACAAGGGGTGGGGAGGAAGAAGAGGAGGGGTCCCAGGGCCGGGGGTGGGGAGCTAGGGGGAGGGTAAAGAGAAGGAGGGGTCCCAGGGCTGGGGGTGGGAGGCAGGGGGAGGGGCCCCGAGGCTGGGAGAGAGGGGGAGAGGGGAGGAGAAAGAGGAGGAGCCCAGGGGCCGGAGCAGTGAGGCTCGAGGACCCGATGCCTTCCAGTCCAGCCCATCACTTTGGGCAGCCGCAGGTGCGTGTGGGCTGTTATCAGTATCATGGCAGATAATAAGTCCCCCCCCCCCGGCCCTCTTGCCCCAAAGCCAGCCCTTTCCCCCATTCTGCTCCCCTTCCTGCTTGCCTGGGACCTTGCCCTTCTCTAGCCAGCTTCCCGCACTGGCCCAGGCATCTCTGGAGGCTGCAGTTTGATGCTGAGCTCGGCCCAAGGCATGCTGGGAAGGATGCAGAAGAGACACCAAATCGCTGTCCTCGGTGGTAGGCCTCTGTGTGGTGGGAACTCGGGCGTGGAAGTCCTCAGCACCCCCACTCTGTACTGGGGCGGCAGAGGCTCAAAGAGAGGAAGAGTCTGCCCGTGCCTGAGCTGCCTTCTCTCCTCCTCCTGGCCCCTCAAAGCCTAGCCTAGAGAGTAATAAGTAATCAGTGAAAAGAGCTACCATTTCTAGAGCACTTTGAGGTTTACAAAGCTCTCACAGCAACCCTGGCAGGGAAATGCCTTTATTATCCACCTTTTCCAGATGAGGGAACTGAGGCACAGAGCCAGTAAGACAGTCCATAAGCATTAAGAGCCTCCTCTGTGTCAGCCCTGTGCTAAGTGCTGAGAAAGTCACTAAGGGAGTCAAGATCTGAACCCGGGTCTTCCTGCCTTCTCTTCCACTGGTTTAAGCACTTCACCATTAGGTTGCCTCCATGAGGCAGGTAGGAAGAAGACCAAGACTGTCTGATACTTGGTTTTTTCTTTTTTTTTCTCTAATATTTGTTAATCTTGTACTTTCTTGTGTTGTTTGACATCCCGTGGGAGTTGGCCCAAGTGTTAAATTCCAGTTGTGTTCAGAGAAAGATAGCAGAAAAGCTGCGATGGGCTCCGGTTGTTTTCCTAAGGACTTCAGTCTGTCCTTCAGCTGAAAAACCGGGGTTAGGATTTTCACTTTCTCTTTTTAGGACTAACAGGGTAACATGTAAAATGCTGCACAGGTCTTCAAGCTCTACATAAATGTTAGCTATTTTTGTTATTGTTCTTAGTTTGGGCCTCGTTTGGTGCTTCAAGTTTGGGACAGTGAAGAAATGCTGGCCTGACATTAGGTTGGACTTCTGAGGGGGGGGAAAGGAATAAGGTGTGGAACTGGCAGATGGGAAGTGAAGACCCA